AACAGTGTCTATAAATTAAAAAAAAAAAAGGATTTTTTGGTAACAATTAAAAATGTGTTGGACTAATTGGTGCAAGTATTTTGTTTTGGGATTAGTTGGGTTTTGAACTTGTTACATGAGACTTATCAGTAAGTTCCCCTTAAAATATCAACAAATTAAAGCCCATGTGGTTTTAAATTTTATAGTCCAATTAGAAGAAATGCCTCCCAAAATTATAGTCCCATACCCAGCAAAAATAAAAAAATTATAGTCCCATAGTTTGCCTTTGATAGGGCCCAAATTGACAGCCAATATAGAGCGCCCATTGTGAAGGCTCGTTATGGGCTATCATTCGGGGCTTGAAATGGTCAAAAGTACCCTAGCTAGTCAGTGGGTATGCTCTCCACGTGCCCAACTCGACTTTTACTTTTGTTAGTCCGTCTTGTTTATTTGGATTATGCAATTGGGGTTCGGCTATGGTACCCAAAAGTGGTATTTGGGTACCATACATGAAAACAATTTTGAACCATTAGATTGAAATCTTTAAATCTTAACCATCCAAAACCAAAACAAGTTAAAAAATAAATTTAAAAAAAAAAAGCTTGTTACCACCGGTCAATACACTCTCTCTACTGGTATTGTTTTTTGTTTCTCTGTACTCTCTTCTCTCTCTCTCTTTCTCTACTGTGTTTTTCTATCTCTATACTCTCTTCTCTCTCTCTACTGTGTGAGGGTTTCTACAAGCCCTTCTCTCTCACACCTGACCGGCCTCTCATCGCCTCGATCCCATTGTTCCACCACCACCGGCGCAACCCCGCCTTGATTCTGGCCACTCATTTGCCCTGAAGATCGTCGACAAGACCAGAAGCTCTGTTCAATGGCTACTTGTGATAGGAACAAGAAGAAAAGGTTTGCTTTCTAAACATTTTTTTTTTCTTTTGGAACCTTTAAACTGGTTTTCTTTTGTTCAATGGCTTCCTCCGACTTGTTCATGGCTTTTGGAGTGAATATGCAACTGTATTATTGCAATCCCAAGTCTTCCTTTTTTGTTTTTTTTTTTGATTTTTTTTGGGTTCAAAATCATCTGGAAGTGGTCCTGTTTTTTTTTGGTCTTAAAAATCAAAGACAAAAGTGGGTGAGTTGGCTTTATTTTTTTGGTTTCTCTACTTTCGAAACATTTTTTTTTCTTTTCTGATTTTTTTGTTCAAAATCAAAGACAAAAGTAGGTGGGTAATTTGGCTTTATTTTTTTTTTGGTTTCTCTGCTTTTTAAACCTTTTTTTTTCCTGATTTTTTTTTTTAGTGAAAATGAATGACAAAAGTAGATGGGTAAGTAGATGGATAGAGTAAAAATCATATATATATATTGATTTTTTAAAAATATTTATTTTTGTATGGTATTTTTTTGAATTTTTAGTATGTGGTTGGAGGTGGCGTTTTTTTTCCCTCAATCCCCAAATCTTTCTAGAATATTGGGTATATGGTTGTCTCATATGCTTTGCAGTTTGTTTGGTTATGGGTATGAATTTTGTGTGTCTCATATGTTGTGTTACTTATTTTTTAAAGTAAAGATGGTTCATGGTCCATATGTATTTTTTATGTTCTTTCTTTCTTTTTTTTTTGTTCTTTATCATTTATGCACCTAATTGTTTTTGGAATGGAAGGACTTGAATGGTTGACAAATTGTCCCATTCACTACTAGAAAAGGGGCTTTATGACATTGTATTTTTTGCGACGACTTAAAAACCGTGGCAAATAACAAGCTTTTGCAATAGTAAAAAACTTCATCACTAAATATAATTTTTTGCGATGGAAATAATCCATTGCAAAAAAGAAGATAATAAAAAATGATATTTTTAGTAATGGGTAACCCATTACGTCACAAAAGACGCAACATATGCAATGGTACGTTACTTCCGTCGCATAGCAATGTTTTATGCTTCAGTTTGATTTGATTTTAAATTTTATAAAATCATAAATAATAATTTGATCTTTGATTTATTTTGAAATCTAATCATGCACCTCTCTAATTTGACAAGTTATTTGGTAATTTTTGAGCAATGTTCCACATCATTTTGAGGTGATACTTATCTATTTATCTTTCAAAACTAACTAAAAAATATTAAGTGTTACTATTTTAATTAATAAAAATCATATTATGACATTTGTAATTTTTCATTTTCGAGCAACATGTCTGATTAATTAAATGAAATTAACAAAAATCACTATTGGAGAAAGGTGAAAATCCTCTTAGTTAGGGGTGGACAACTATCCACAAGATCTATCAAAATCGAATTGACCAATTAATCTGTCACAAAATAAATGATTTTAATGGTTTAAATGGATAGATGCAGATGGTTTTTCCTCAATCAGCCTAAATTCGAATGGACTATAGATATGGAAAGTCACTGCACCTAATTCGATTTGCTTACACTTTTAAAAAATGATGTTATATTTTTCTCTTAATCCCCAAATCTTTCTAGAATACTAGGTATATGGTTGTCTCATATGTTTTGGAGTTTATTTGTTTGTTTGTTTGTTTGTTTGTGGGTATGAATTTTGTGTTGTCTCATATGGTTTGTTACTTATTTTTTTTTAAAGTAATGGTGGTCCCATTTGTAATTTTTATGTTTTTTTGTTTCTTTTTCTTATTTTTTTCTTTATCATTTATACACTTTGTTTGTTTTTGGAATGGAGGGACATGAATGGTTGACAAATTGTCCCATTGGTGGGTAATGGGGACTTTGACACTTTTTGCTAAACAATAAATGGTTGAGTTTTTTGTATTATCTCATGCTTTGTTGTTTATATTTTTAAAAGTAAGATAGTTTATGGTGGCCCCATTTGTGGTTTTTTTTTTTTTTAAGTCTTATTTCTATTATTTTTTTGAAGTAAGATAGTCCATGATAGTCATATATCTATTATCGATTTGCTTTGGAGATTGTGTATATGGGACCATATGCTTTATTACATTTATTTTTAAAAGCAATATAGTTCATGTGATCTCATTTGTGATTTTTTTGTTTTGTTTCTTTTTTTTTTTTTAAGCAAGATAGCCGATGATGGCCCCATTTCTGTTATTGTTTTTGTTTATAGAATGGGGGGATATGTAGGCTTGATTAATTGTCCTATTAGTGAATAACTAGGACTTGGGTGAGTAATCTTAAAAGAATATATATATATACACAATATTTATAGAATACAATGAAAGAACACTACAAAAAATTAATGATATTAATAATATGTTTTAATTGTAGTGTTTTAATATATGATTAAATTTTCATAGTATGTTTTGGAATTTAAATTTGGTCTAATGTATTTTTTGTTATTGTGTTTAGCTAACCATGGCAACTCGGACAGCATTGAACTCAGTTTATGAGTTAATACAATTGCTTCAACCATTACAAAAAGAAGCTATCAAATCAATTGGCTTTGGAGGTTTATTAGAGCTTAAATGCACGAGATTACCACGACAACTCTGTAAATGGTTGGTTGGTTGTTTTGATCATACATCTCGGTGTTTATTCGTTCATGATAAAAGAATAATTATAACACCATTTGATGTAAGCCACATATTAGGACTTCCTTGTGAGGGATCAATTATAAACGTAAATGGGGACCACACTGATATTGAAGAGTTGTCGAACAAGTATGGTGTTAAGAAGTGTGGCTCTATTTCATTGAGGTCTTTAAGGAATGAGTTGTTTGATATGAAAGTAGACGGGGATGATTTTAAGGGAAGATTTGTATTGTACATTCTAGGTTCTCTTTTGTGCCCTACATCGGAGTTGTCAATAAATCGTTGTTTTCTCCATTCCTTGAAGGATATGTCTTCTTTACATAAGTTAAATTGGTCAAAACTCGTCTTAGACTTTTTAGTCGATGGTGTGCGAAAGTACAAGGACAAAGGAGAAGGAAAGGGACAACGAGGAATTCGAGGTTGCTTGTTTTTTCTGATGGTATGTTTCTAAATCATGGTAAACAAATGATTGTCTATTTAGTGCATTCTTGAACTTACTAATCATTACATAACCATATCATGTAGTTATTCTACATTGAGCATGTGACACCTGCTGTGGATTTTGTTAGTCCATGTGCAAGTAGACAAGCACCTCGTTTAGTATATTGGACAGATGAGGTGATTAAAAAGAGAATCTCCATGTTAGAAAAACTTCAATACCAAAACAACAAGAAGGTAATCTTATGTGTTATATAATTTAATTTGTATGCGTGTTGTAATTAAAGAATTCGTTTAACATGTTTGTTATTATTTTCTTAATAGGTTGGTTTTATTGTTGAAGATAATGATGTGAGTGTAGAGCCAAACATAAATGCACGGCTAAGTAATGTTGAAAAATAAGTGAAAGATTTGAGAGGAGACTTAAATAACTTAGTCGTTGGTGTCAGTCAATCAATAGAATCTGCCAAAGAAGAGATTTTGATAGCAATTGCAAAGGTAGCTAATGGGTCATGGACTATTGAGAAGGAGAAGCACTCTCATGATATCGATTGTCAATTGAAAAATGAAGATATCTTGGATGACAAATGGAGTCCCCCACCTTATGCTTTCCAAGATCATACGTCTCCTATGGATAAACAACTCAAACAAGAAAATGAGGGATTGCCTAAGATTCCATTAGGTGATCAGTTCACATCGTCCGTATCTCCATTTGCACCATTTTTTAGTGAACATGAGCTACTACAACCAAAGTTACCAAAAATGATTTTAAAAAGGTCAATTTCGGTAGATGATGGTGCCGAGTCTTCAACAGTTTTGCCTTATCATATGAAGCTTAGGAGGGAAAGCAAACGAAAAAAAAGCAAACATATACTTTCACCCTATGATGATGTTGAACTTGGCAAGGTAAGATACATTATTATTATTATTATTATTATTATTATTATTATTATTATTATTACTATTTGTTTTGTTTTGTTGTTAGAATTGAAAGTAGTTATTGATTTATTTGTGTTATGTAGAAATATAATATAACAAGCAAACAACTTAACATGTTGCCTAAATATGCACAAGAGGTAATAAATAATATTTGTACACATAACAATTTTTTTAAAAATAATTCATTACAAATGAACTTAGTCACCGACTGATTTATGTTATACAGGAAGCTACAATGAAAAATAAACAAGTTGTTGTGTTTCCTGAACAACATTCGAGAAAGGTATACTTATGTTTTCTTATAGAAACTCATTTTTAGGAGAATATTCAATTACATACTTTATGAAAATGTTATTAATGATTGGTTAAAAACAGATTTCTGAGTTGTTGAGTATGCCAACTCCCATGAAAGGATTTGATTTGCCACCGCTTTCAGTTGAGGATAAATTGATAAGAGACTATTTGTTTCATCGTAGTAAATTGGAAAGGTTCTATTTCTTTCAAGAAATATTTTCTTTTAAGAAATATTTTCTTTTATGTTTCATGTATTTATATTGTCACATTGACATGTATCACTTAATTAATATGATAGTGAAATTCTTATTAACTTTGATATTCAACATGGAACGCGCAAAAACATATGGACATTAGATCGTGGTTGTTGGCTTGATGGACAAGTAAGTAGTAAACCATTGCTCAAATGAATTTATAATGTACAAGATAATTGCATTTATTGATGAGTTTTTGTTTCTTAGATAATTACTTTAGTTGCTTTGCAATTTACATTAAAGCAAAAGGATCGTATCCCAGATGCGAAATATCCAGCGTGGTATCTACCTACATATTTTTCGGTAATTTACTTATGCATTTTACAATTAAAAGCATTTGACTACGTAGTTTGTGTTATTGATATTTATACTAATTTTTATGAGTTGTAGCAACATATTTTGCAACACAAGGTTCATAAGCCAAACATGCTCAAGTCCTATTTTGGAACAAAACGGTACACGGGAAAAATTGAATCATGTGAAAGGGTATTGATTTGTTATTATCTCACTTTACTTTTGTTTAATATGTTAATGAATATGATAGTGCTGATTATTGATTTAATATAGGTGTACATTCCAATTAATGATGCGGGTGAACATTGGTATATGTGTGTGGTATACATGCGACAACAAGTGGTATATATCCTTGATCCGTATATATCAAGAAGAAGTAGAACTCGGCCAACTCAAGTGAAAAAAGTGGTATACATCCTTATATAATGTTGTTATTTGTATTTTGTATTGTATGTTTTCCTACTAATTAGTTATGTAAATAACAGGTTGAAGTGTTACATGACTTATTGGGAATTCAGTACAAGAATGCATATACAAAAGATGTACATTTAACATATATGTGTTCAATTGAATTCAAAGCTTCAAACACATGATCAAATGAGTCAATCCTTCCAAAAACATGATAAATTCATGAACCACAACTAGAAAATGGACATGCATGTGAGGATTTTCTAAAAACAACCTCAAATTCCAAGAACATGTACATGCATGCATGAATTAGCTACTCAAATCAACTCTTTAAGCCAATTCTTGACTTTAACTTCTAAATTACCATGATATGGACTCGTGTGTGCGGTAGAACACGTGCTCTGATACCACTCTATCACAACCCAAACCCGCCCCTATAGGTTTAGCGTCGTAACCGGCCAGTAACCCTTGGATTACCGAAGGCCTCTTAACAAAATAACATGAAATTAAGGGTTGTTAAAGCAATAAACAGAAATATATATAGTCTATTGAGCTGTGAAGACATACATGAGACAGATATTCTTAAACTTTAATAAAGATACGTGTGACGTCAAAAGATACAGTTGATACGCGTCATTCCATATACTGTACTTATAAGCAGAAATTTATCCATACTCAAAACAAAAGAACCAAAGTCTTAAATACAAAAAACATGGCCACGGGACTTGACATGATCCGGAACCTCCTCGGGAGGCACAAAGGGTGGTTGACAAACATAAAAGCCATAAGGCATCATCTTAAGCCTGGTCGCGTGCCTGGTCACCTACATATATAATATAAATAGTGAGTGGGAGCCCAGCGAATAATAACAAAGTAAAGGAGTTTTAATGAATGATGTCCATCATAGAATTAGAAATCAGAGTTTATATTAAAAACAGATTCATATACTTGTTTATATTCATTTTCAAAGTTCATACATTTCACATCATAGTTCGTGGCACATCCATTAGCGTTAACAAATCCGATGACCCACAAAGGGACAGCTGTGAAGGCATTCTGATGACCCATAAAGGGATGGCCATATGGCATTCCGATGACTCGTGTGCACAGAGACATTTCTGATAACCCATAAAGGGATGGCTGTAAAGGCATTGCGATGACCCATAAAGGGACCTGATAACCCATAAAGGGACACAAAATATCACATGATGCTATGGATGCCACGAGTACATTTCAGAAACTTGGACGATCATTCATTCACACAAGACATAGCATTTCAAAAACTAATCATGTCGTATCATCAGAAAATAATTAAGTTTAACATAACTTTACAAAGTCATTACTTACAAATAACAGGTGGCTCCAAATAGATGAATAGAGTAGGCAACTCAGATATCTTGTGGCGCGTGACCTACATTGGTACAAAATGAATTCATATTGAATTACACACCCGGAAACATTTACTATGTTTTGTTCTTATCTTGGTGTGTCTTTACTTTTATCCTCATTATTGTGTCTTAATCTTGGCTTAGGTATGCCTAGGATGGAATGAGGATGCAAAAATGCACTTGAAAACACTTGACAAAACTTGCTGAAAACAGAGTCCTCGCTCGAGCGCAACTTCCTACGCTCGAGCGAACATGCAAAATGTGAGTGGTTGCTCGAGCGCACATTCTTTTTCTCAAGGGGTCTATAAACTTTCGTAAAAGTGTTGGTTACTTGATTTTTCTGCTCGATGATCGCTTGATGCTCGCTCGAGCGTGAGAGGCATGCCCTCGCTCGAGTGCAACTTTTGTTGCTCCAGCAGACTTCTGGTCGCTTGAGTGGAAGTGCAAGATCACAAAGTGGTCGCTCGAGCAGAGAATCCGTCACTTGAGCGGAGAGGCAAAATCTGGGATTTCCAGATTGCTTTTCTCAGCTCCAAATTCAAATCCAAGGCTACAATTCACATTCTTTTGGGCCCAAAACTTGAGACAACATATGTAAACTTATAAAATATGAAGGTTTAAAGATCATTTCATGAAATCAAGGCCTAAAAGTATGTTAATTGTGCAACATTCAACTTGAAATGTAGAACATGATGTGAACATGTCAT